ACGCAGACTCACTCACTCTCACTTTCTTTTTAAGACAAACTAACCTATTGCACCAACCTTGTTAAATTTTACTCTTGCACTCTGACCTGCCTCCACTAACCCCCTAACCTCACCCTTCACAGTGTTACCATTCGCACATACCTTAGTGCTTAAATTGATAATACTAATAATAATTATACACACTTTCTCATACTGACCATTTTATAGTTCACAATATTGCCTTGGTATGGCGTTCGTTTCACCAAAATGTTGGTAACATATGTATTTTAAAAGAAAAAGACAAATCTTGTATGTATGCATATATATATATATATATATATATATATATATATATATATATATATATATATATATATATATATATATATATATATATATATATATATATATATATATATACATACATGCATACATACATACACACACATATACATACATACACATACACAGGTCTCTCCTGTCTTTCATAACTGCTGGACCATTACAGCATGAATTTAGATGTACTTGAAGATAAGCAAAATGCAGGTGTTGTATATACTGACTTCGTCAAGCTTTCGGCAAGTGTGACCATGGGGTGATTGCACATAAAATGCGTGCAAAGGGAATAATTTGGAAGGTAGGCTGACGGATATATTAACTTCCTAACAAATACAGTAGAACCCAAAGAGAAATAGTAACCAGAGAGAAATCAGGGGTTACTGCAGTAAAAAGTTCTATCCCTCAAGACACGGTATTCACCCCACTTCTCTTCCTCATATCTAACAGACAGGGACATAAGCCATAACACTATCATCTTTTCAGACGATACTAGAATTTTTATGAAAGTGGCATCCATATCAGACGCAGCAAAGAGTCCAAGACTCCAAGCTTATATCAACCAAGTCTTCCAGTGGATTACTGACAACAATATAATGTTCAATGGGAACCAATTTCAGTTACTACGTTAAGGAAGAACGGAGGAAATATAAACAATACCGGAGTACTCAAAACATTCACTCTAACGCAAGTCAAATGTGAAAGACGTCGGAGTTGTATTAGATCTGAAGTTTAAAATCAAGAGATGCCAAGCTAATGATGATGCTTTTCAGGTCACTTGTTCTATGCTGGAATATTCCTGTGTACTAACGACCTTTTTCAAGGCAGGTGAAATTGCTGAGCTGGAAAATGTAGAGAACCTTCACCTATAAACTTAGTCAAACACCTAAATTACTGCAAGCGCTTGAAGTCCAAGAGTTGTAGGAAAGATACATCATAGTCTACATCTGGAAGATACTGGAGTGACTGGTCCCAAACCTGCACACCGAAATTTCTACTTGTGAATACAAAGAGGCTTGGTAGACGGCGTAGGATGCCTCCTGCGCCTCTAGCTGTCTTCAACAGGGAACTCAACAGATTCCTCAAAACGGTTTATGATTAATTGGGTTGTGGTATACGTTCGACTACTGGCGACGGGCACATTCTTGGTCGATCAGGCCATCAACCAGGAGGCCTGGTCTGGGACCGGGCCACGACAATTTTTTTTTTCCATCTCACGGTAGTGAGATGGAAAAAAAATTATCGATGGAAAATTATCGATGGAAAATAGATGGATGGATGTGACAGTAGGCAAACCTCATACACAGTGTAAGGGTGAAGCGTACAGACACCCGCAATGCCAGGAGCCATGAGTCGGAGTACATATGTATATAAGCAATAACAAATTTCCCAGAAAAGTGTGTCCATAAAGAGTGCGGTCATGCAGTAAAAATAACACTTAGTGGCAGTGGCCTCAACCCCCCCGCAAGCTAACCGAGAAGCCAGACGCGGCGTGACGTCACTACTAAATACAGGATGTAAACAAAACAACAATTACGTGGTGACAAGTGTCCGTCCGGTCACCCGCCCACCCCCACCATTACCCATTTCACCTCCTCTCTCCTTACCTATGTCACTCTCTTATTCATTGGCCTTCAATCACCTATCTTACTTTACTGCCACCTGTGCAGTTTTTAATTACTGGGATGACTCGTGTCCAGATTCTCATTTCCATGAGTTATCTAAGGCACGTGATGTTTATTTTTTGGACCTCTTGATGAACATGGAATCCCACGTGTGTGGCCTGAGACAGTACTTAGGAATACCATCCATGGTTAACAGGGGTACATTTAGGATATTGGTTTAATGTGCCTGTATCTAATTTTGAATAATAAGATACCTTGATATATCATATCATAAAACTGTCTCTCTTTATTCCTCTATAAGTGAACCATAAAGCATAGTGTTCAAGAGTGGCTCACTGAACTCCGTATTGTGTCTTCTGTAGTTCACGCATTTCTTCGTTGCCATCGGTTAAGTTCCATGTCCTTTAAGCAATGATCCAATACTAAATTTTATTTTTTGCCCTGGCTTTCGCATACGAAAGTATTTTGACTTCCCCCCCCCCCCGTCACCCCTGGACTCTGTATGACGCATTCAATTTGAATAACTTCAGTTAAGATGCGATTCGAGTTTGTTTGTCACTGTTTTGTTCCGATAAGTAGTGTGTGTTCAAGATTTTGCAACGTCCTCCCATCAAGCGTAAGAGAAATTATCAACATTCTCGTGTCTCCCAGAAGGAATTCTGCAAGCAAGTTGACGAGTTTCCGATCAGTCCGATTATGCTGATAGCCTCGAACTGCGTAGAATGAACAACCTCACTCACTGGTCCCAACGCTCCCCTCAACACATATACTGTACAGCACAAGAGAATCCACTCTGAAAATTACCTTCTGTAGGTAAGGAAAGCTGCCTAAGTACGCAAATTCGACAGTACTGAATGTACCTCTCTCGCAGACATGTGCCTACATATCCAAACATAACCTGCTTGTCACATCTAGGGTGACTGACACATGGCGTCATCTTTGGGTACCCTCCAAACCTCTCTAGTGGCATACTTTTAAAGGTTACCCAGAATCTAATGAGGCGAGTCTCTTGTATACACAGTTAAGTGTGTCGTCAGACGCGAAAAAAAGAGACCCAAGTATTTGATTAACAAATTCAGTTTTTTTATCTATGAAATTTGTAGGATTCTTAAAGCTCAAATTACTTTTATAGATACCATTACATTTTTACTGTCAGTACAGTGACCATCAGAGAGCTGCGTTCCATAGCAGAAACTGGAAACTGGACACAGGTACTGTATGAACACCGAGATGAAACTCAGAGATGTTAGGAAATATATTTTTTTTAAATCAGAAGTAGATAAAAGCCTACTGTGTAGGCGAAAAGTTTCAACATTGAAAGATACCCAACTGTTGCACATGTGTCTTACTCATCAACCTGTCGGTATTTTATACCATTTCAACATGATCCGTTAAGCTGGAGCATTTGTTACGAGATGAAGGCAAACTCCATACCTAGTTTTAAGAGTATAATATTTCTAAAGAGACCAGAAACTAGTACTAGCACTTGAAGCTTAAAATGTAGGGCCAGGAGCCAAGAAAACCTAAATCTGTGAGTACACACTGTATGTGTTCATACGCACAAGCAAAATTTACCTTACTCAAAATGTTTACGACAAGAGCTGCGGAATCTACAGCTGTAAGGATGTTTGTACAAGATTAGTATATCCTCACATGGTTATTCCAACAGCGATTCTAAAAAATGTACGAGTCTAGTGTTCCCAGAATGCTTTCCATTCTAAAGTTTAGTCTCTGATGACATCCATCATAGTCGCTCAATTATTGTGGTTGATTTCTAAAGCACTGAAACAGTTTAGTTATTCAAAGCCTTGAATATTAAACAATTGTTGGAACCACTTTCAGTCTACTACCAACACTACTTATTTGTTGTCAGTAACAACTTTCTTAAGTGACTAATTTACTGTCCGCGCCCCTGTAATGACCAACAGCGACGAAAATAAATTCAACAGCAGAAACAGGAGAATCAGCAGCATACCGCTTACCTAATTCAACTCAATACTGTATTTATTTAGGACCCACGGTAAGCAAGTAAGTCCTTGACCCCAGGAACCTTTTCCACCCCCCAGTCCCCTGTATGTTAATATATTACGACACCAATGACTCCTACACACATGTGGCCGCTTCATCTTAAATAACAACAGTCTATCTAGACATATGTTTCTGTATTTTATAAATGCTATTAGAAAATGTATCTACCTATATTAGACGTTTATGCACAACAACCAACAACTGCTCCCATACGAGGCCACACACAATATGAACGTTATCAACTTTTTTTTTTAACCGTTACAGGTTATTCATGTTACAGATTTTCACGGCATTTGAACGTTTCCTAGGACTTTACACAGCATGCTGGGCCCTTTTTTAATTTATGTAATTTAACAATTCCAACTTAAAATAGCTAAATTATAGTATGTTTATTATAGCCGGGGGGGGGGGCACCAAGCCAATAGTGAATCAGAGCGATTTGGGTAATAGGAAGCAATCAGGTTTGATCCAAGGAAGAGAAAGACAGGTCCAATTCCTTGAATCAAGAGCCTCTCGCCTGCATCAAATAACCTCCCTTGAGGTGAATAACGAAAAATAACATGTGTATGTTCACAGGGAATGTGAAGAAACTGATGATGGAAATCGTGTACGAAAATTAACGTAGTAAAATAAACAAAGGTTAGTATCAATGTATTATGAGATATACTGTTTGAGGTAGGTAATAAATCTCTGTAAATATATGGCTCAGAGAACCGACAAGTTGATAAATTAGATACATGTGCAACACTTGGGTATCTTTATTGAGGAAATGTTTCGCCACACAATGGCATCATCAGACCTATAAAAAGAAGAATGGTGAAGATCAGAAGGAGTCTGGGGTAATCAGTCCCTCAGCCTGAAGTCGATGCAATCAATCAATCTTTTCTGCTTGTTCTATCCCTCCCTTATCTAGTTCTACTTTTCCTCATTTACTTTCCCTCTCTCCCTCCCTCAATTGGCACTATTCTTCATTTTCCCCTGTTTCCATTCTTTCTCTACGTCCCATCTTCAACACGAGCAATTCGAACTTACCTTTTTCAAGTGTTTGTTCACCCATTTTGTGAATGTCTTCTTCTGGATGGCGTCTCGTTCGTCTGTGGAAAGAAAACAATATTTTAGTCATAGAAAGATAAAAGCAAAATATCGCATCACCCGTCAATGCCAGCAAAAATGATACAACATAATGTATTCCATTACGAAGTGATGCCATACAATGCCATTCAAAGCACTGGAACAGTGTAACTACAATGGAACATAATGCAACGCAGAAACACTTGACTACCATGCTGTGTAAAACAATGCACTGCATCACAGTGCAATGTTATGTCATACAAAATAACGAAATAAATTGAGCCGTAAAAGCTACCAAGCAAATCTTCGTTACCTTGTCCAGATGATACACATTATCAGTAAAATGCAATCCAGCTCTAGAAGCCACTCCGATAACAAATGCAACTTATTAATACATGGTTCAAAAAAATTCATTCAAAGGGATATTTTCAAAGTCTGGTGGCTCCTATATGGCTACGTGAAATATCCTTAATGGTAGTGCTCTGACATCCCTCCCAGGAAGTGGTGGTAGTTAACTCCATTCAGAATAAACACTTGTCATTAGTAGTCAAGAGGTAGAGAAAGAAGCCTGGAATCCATCCCCTGCAAACACTATGTTAGTGCGCACGAACATGTATGCGCACACACGTACGTCCATTACCTTTGATACATCTTTGAAGAGTTTCGAGAGATTAACTACTCTCAGAGCCCGGCCATGGGCCAGGCTCGTTAGAGGAACCCAAGAACTGGAGCTTGATCCTAGTCAACACATATGAGCACATTTATGACCATAAGACAGGAGGAACACTACAGTAGGCCTACTGACCCACACTAGGCGAGTCATTCTCAAACACAAACCCACTAACAATATAACTTGACCAGTATACAGACATCTCTGAATATCAAAATGGTATTCAATACCGACAAGTTGGTAAGTAGGACACATAGGCAACATTTAAGCACCTTTATTCCGAAACATTTTGCCTACACAGTAGGCTTCTTCAGTCGAGTACAGAAAGTAGGCACGAGCAGTAAAGATGTAAAGGCGATGTAATCAGTCCAACAACCTTGAAAATGTAGATTTGAGGTTGTCAGTCCCTCAGCCTGGAGAAGAATTCTGTTTCATAGTCTGAAACAACGTGAACAAGCGACAGTGTGGAGACTTATATACTGTCGCCAGGAGAGATGTAGAGTAGAAGAAAAATTACATTCTTACAGTGATTACATTCTTTCTTCTGCTACTCTACACCTTTCCTGCCGACAGTATATAAGTCTCCACACTGTCGCTTGTTCTTCACATTGTTTCAGACTATGAAACAGAATTCTTCTCCAGGCTGAGGGACTGACAACCTCAAATCTACATCTTCAAGGTGATGGACTGATTACATCGTCTTCACATCTCTACTGCTCCTGCCTACTTTCTGTACTCGACTGAAGAAGCCTACTGTGTAGGTGAAACGTTTCGGAATAAAGATGTTTAAATATTGCCTATGTGTCTTAACATACAAACATCTCTACCACACCTACCTTTCTTCCCACCCACCGACCACACCACCCTCCTCACCATGCAAAAGCCAATTACCCGCTACTCTTCCTCACCCAAGAGGATCCAGTAATCATCTAGCCACCTTTGTTTATCTCATCAACTACGGCACGATCCCCTACCCTCCACAAACATCACCACTTCCAGCCATCTCTCAAAGGAAGGTTTCTTGATGCCGGTGAAGGGGCTTCTTGATCCAAGGAACTGGACCTGTTCTTTCTCCCCTAGGGTCGAAACTTGATTGCATCCCATTTCCCCAGGCGCTTTATAACCCCACACGTATTTAGAGCTTCTCCTATAAATGTATTAAATTAGATGTCTATCCTTTTTGTTACAAATGCACGCACGCACGCACGCCGCACACACACACACACACACACACACACACACACACACACACACACACACACACACACACACACAGAGTAGTCAGGCCGTGGAATAGCCTAGAAAGCGAAGTAGTGGAGGCGGGAACCATACATAGTTTTAAGGCGAGGTATGATAAAGCTCATGGAGCAGGGAGAGAGAGGACCTAGTAGCAATCAGTGAAGAGGCGGGGCCAGGAGCTATGAATCGACCCCTGCAACCACAGATAGGTGAGTACAAATAAGTGAGTACACACACACTTGAGGTTACCACCCCCACACACTACCTCCCCTGTGTAACACACACACACTACCTCCACATTGCTCATCACGTGGTAGAGCTGTGATTCATCCCAGGTGCAACACATCACTGCAATATAAAGTGAAATACTTCTAGTTCAGCACTAGCAGAGGTTATCTTGCAAATACTAACATTATTGCATTAATATCAACAACGATGTATAATAAATATCATGTTTTAAAAATGCTGTCTTCATGTTTCTTTATCTGTGATTTGCATGTTTACTCAAGTGGGATTCAGTCAAAACAGCAGTTGAGTGAACACAAGACAAAGGCCATAATATATATTACTGGCGCCCCAACCACCATAACCTTCATAGGTCACTCATGACACCATGAGTCGGGAAGCGAGAAGCCCTACCCACCATAACCTTCATGGGTCACCCCCCTCATACTGAGTGGGGGAGCAAGAAGCCCCACCCACCACAACCCTCATGGGTCACTCATCACACCATGAGTGAGCATGATGGTACTGGGCAGTCAGTGCCCTGGTTCTGCTTAGTACACTCACACTGCTAACCTTGGCTTCATATCCACTTCTATAATTACAATTTTAAAATAATTATTCCTCTTGCTGTATCATATTTTAATTTTCTACTCTATTAGCATTCTTCAAAAATTATGCATGCAACAATATCATTACAATTAATAAAGATTCATCACATTTATTGTGGCCAAGGGGAATCAACTTTCCCCCCTCCCTTTAGAGGACAAGGTCGAGGTGTCAGTGCTCTGGCCGCGGGGCGTCTCAAACCTTTATTACCTTCACTTTATAACTAAGACAACGAGTATCACAGACAATGTTTGAGACCAGTCACTATCCTCCACCTCGCAGTACCCGGCCACCTACACGGGTAAAGTGAATCCTCCATGCAAAGTTCCATTACTGCACGCACGGACACCTTCATGGATGTACGGGAGCACATTACATGACCAACAGTATAATGAAGGTAGCCCTTGAAACTGACGGTGATTAACTTGTAACTAATATAACCAACATTAATAGCGTTATTAAAGGATTACACTCAAAATGAAAGAACGATCAAAATCGGTGCACCTCTACCAGAAATTGTTCATTTTACAAAAATATTCATAATTTTCAATAACTAGCTGACTAACGTAAAAAAATGTAACATAAGAAAGAAGGAACACTGCAGCAGGCCTACTGACCCATGCGGAGCAGGTCCATGTCCCCCCCCCGGAATAGCCCAATGACCACCCAGTCTGGTCACCTCCACTCAAGGAAGGAGCACGGCACCAGACCCAGCAGCACAAGCTAGTCAGGTCCAACTCGCACCCACCCACACCCACTCGTGTATTTATCTAACCTATTTTTAAAACTACACAACGTTTTAGCCTCAATAACTGTACTCGGGAGTTTGTTCCACTCATCCACAGCTCTATTACCAAACCAGTGCTTTCCTATATCCTTCCTGAATCTGAATTTTTCCAACTTGAAACCATTGCTGCGAGTCCTGTCTTGGCTGGAAATTTTCAGCACACTATTTACATCCCCTTTATTTATTCCCGTTTTCCATTTATACACCACGATCAAATCCCCCCTAATTCTACGCCTTTCGAGAGAGTGCAGATTCAGGGCCTTCAGTCTATCCTCATAGGGAAGATTTCTGATACATGGGATCAACTTTGTCATCCTCCTCTGTACGTTTTCCAGAGCATTTATATCCATTCTGCAATACGGTGACCAGAACTGAGCAGCATAATCTAAATGAGGCCTAACCAAGGATATATATAGTTGAAGAACAACCTGAAGACTTCTATTTTTTATACTTCTAGATATGAAACCAAGAATTCTGTTAGCTTTATTGCGAACACTAATGCACTGTTGTCTTGGTTTTAGATTACTGCTAACCAGAACTCCTAAATCCTTTTCGCAATCAGTAGTATTAAAATCTACATTATTTAGTTTATATGTGGCATGGTTATTTTCCTGTCCAACATTTAGAACTTTGCATTTGTCAATATTAAACTGTACCTGCCACTTCTCCGACCATTGCATCAGTCTATTCAAATCATCCTGGAGTGCTCTAATGTCCTCATTAGAATGAATTGGACGGCCTATTTTGGTATCATCAGAATTTACCTTTTCAATCATATTTTATTATACTGAGATAAAGAGATCCAGTATCAAAAAAGGATACATCATATTTAACAATAAGTTATACCCGCAAAATAACAAAGTGCAACTAAATATAACAGTTTCTTATTAAAATTCAACCACATATGAATTAATACTATGAATAGATAACGTAACACAGCTCTTATTTACTTAATGTGATATCCGAGGCTGCAGTTTAGTAGAGAAAGCATTAACAACAAGTTCAATGTTTGTGACTGTCTTGAAATTTTGTGCAAATGTTCATCAGTAAGTCTTGACTAAATCTTAGATTTAAACATTTTCATCCTTGAAAAAAGTTCACAAATGTATATTTTGCCAAAGACTACGAAAATAACTACAAAAACCTCTATAAGCTTACAAATGTGTCAGGTAGGTTACCTGGAGGTTATTCCGGGGATCAATGCCCCCGCGGGCCGGTCCATGACCAGGCCTCCCGATGGATCAGGGCCTGATCAACTAGGCTGTTACTGCTGGCCGCACGCAGTCCGACGTACGAGCCACAGCCCGGCTGATCCGGCACTGACTTTAGGTATCTGTCCAGCTCTCTCTTGAAGGCAGCCAGGGGTTTATTGGCAATTCCCCTAATACTTGATGGGAGGCTGTTGAACAGTCTTGGGCACCGGACACTTATGGTGTTTTCTCTTAGTGTACCAATGGCGCCCCTACTTTTTATTGGAGGCATTTTGCATCGCCTGC